AAACACACTTGGACGCATTTAAGTGCAGCCTATGGCGTTTGAGTATAACAAACATCTCAGCTAGGATGGCGAGGTATTGGGACTCATCTTTGCTCTTCACTACCATATCATCAATATAGGCCTCCATAGTACGGTGAAGGAAGGGAGCAAACATTTTGGTCACCATTCTTTGAAAGGTTGCTTCGGCGATTTTGAGGCCAAATGACATAACCTTGTAGTAGTACAAGCCTCTTGGCGTGGTGAAGGATGTGATCTCTCTATCAGGCTCGTACATGGCTATTTGGTGGTAGTCGCGGTATGCATCTAGGAAGCTAAACCTTCAGTAACCAGCTATAAGATCCACTAGCTGATCAATCCTTAGGATTGAAAAGCTATCCTTCGAGCAGGCACGGTTGACTGTCTTGTAATCAACACATACCCTCCATTTCACATTCTTTTTCGGCACTACCACCGTGTTAAAGATTCAGCTGGGGTATTACATTTCTTCAATTGCCCTTATCTCTAGCAAGTTTTTGACCTCCTTTGCCATTACCTCAGCATAGTGTAAAGCCGAGCGCCGAGTTCTTTAGATGACTGGCCAAGCATTTGGAAAGACATACCTCCATCTATGTACTAGTCCAAGTGTCCAGCTACAACCAGCTCTTCCACGTGTTGTTTCAACGGCACCCAGTCCTCCATGCGATGCCCCCTTTCTTCGTGGAAAATGCAGCAGTACCTTGAGTTGAAGCCCTTCTATGCATTCCCTAATTTTGCTGGCCAACGGACATATGGCTCACCTCGGATTTCACTGAGGATGCCATAGATTGGAATCTTAAAAACAATGGTTATGCTGATCCGTGCCTTCAATTTTCTCTTGGCATCGTCCTCTTCGTTGCGATGAGCATTAGTCCAGTTATTCCTACGGCCTTTATTTCCATCATTGAGGCTAGCACCACAATGTTGTTCTCTAGCTCGGTTGTTAAGGCGGTTATCCTCCTGCCTCACAAGTGAACTTTCCCTGCCACACGTTTGTCCACCGCAACTGGTTTGCCTTCTCGGTTGCAATTGCGGTTGCGGTGGCGACATCATCCTTAACTCGGATGTGCTCGTTAATCCGTTGCATTAACCATTCCATGGTTGTGGGCTGGTGCATCGTGAGGCAGTCTCACAGTCTATGTCCGACTAGTAAACCTCGCTTGTATTGGGCGATTGCCAAATTAGTGAGGCAATCGAGGATCTCATTGTAGGTCTCCCAATACTTGCATTGTATGCCTTCAAAGAACTGCTCGATTCCATCTTAATACCCATGAAGTAGTCGACCTCCTTTGGTGTTCTAGTATTGGTCTTGAATCTGATGATGAAGGCTTCCACTAGTTCCTGCCACCCCTAGATACTCCCCTCCAGGAGCCTTTCGAACCACTTCAGGCCTAACTCTCCCAAACTTGCTGGGAATATGAGACACATCAAGGCATCATTGGGCCGATGGCCTGCCATTACTTGCCAATAATGACTAATGTGCATGTACGAATCCGTCTTGCCATCATAGAGCGTGAACTTAGGTTGATGGAATCGAGAGAGGCGTGCTCTTAATCTCTAGAGACAGCGGGGTGGCGGTGAGTCTTGCCAAGTCTCTGTCCATCAGTGCTGGAGCCACCATTCTGGGTGGCAGCATGGCCACTTCCTCACTGCAACATATTCTGGGACTTAGCCTTTGCAGCACCTGCACTCTTTGGGCCTCTCTGCGGTGTGCTCATTTCTTTAAGACGTCCCTTAAGTCCTATGAATGGGCGGAGTAAGAGTATCTCGACGTCGTCGACGGACGTGAGGGACAGTAACTGTTGTCACGCATGCAAGATTTCTCTATCGATGGGTCGGAATCGCTAACGCCGTAGCTCCTGGTGATGGAGAGAGAGGGTGTCCCCCGTTGGTGCTAGCTGCTTGAGCGACGGGGTTGGGTGCGCTCACTGTGGTTTCCCACTCCAGCAACACCTTTTCCCTTGATTTGTTGCTTCAACGTCTCCATTTCAGCCACCATCTTCCGAATGAGGGCATCCTGGTCTTTGAGTTTGTGCTCCAGGCTTTGAGTATACAATTCTCCTCGCCGCTGGCGCCCCTCAGGACTTTGCGAATGGTCAGTGCTCCTAGCACTTTTGTCTCGTGCATCTCTAGGTAGCCCTCTAGAAGAGGTCTCTAGACCTGCTACGCTCGTAATGCAAGGAGGGCCATCTCTTCTCCGGATTGACTCTGGAGTGATATCATCGACGATGGACAGCGGTGTTTCGTCGATGTTCGCCATGGAAAACAGCCCAAAAAGCTTGTAGAGCAAGGTTTGTCTGTCAAAGAAATTCCCACAGATGCCGCCAATTGTTCGAGAGAGAAATATTTGCCTTGCTCCGCACTTCCTTGCTACCAAGCTCATCACACTCTGTTAGAACTCCGTCACGCTGTAAACAAAATGAAGGTGAGCTACTCGGCGGGTGGTTTTTTCGAAAAACACCTCCGACGATCAAGTTAGCATTTTTAGAAAAGAGAGAAGGCAGAGCACTATAAAGAGAGAGAAGGCAGAGCACCGTGGAGAGAGAGAGTTGCACAAAATTGCTTACCTCCAACATCTGCATGCTCCTCTTTTTCTAGGCTGGCCATGTAGTCTTAGAGATTGTCGGCGCACTACCTTTGTTGTCCTTCTCTAGACAGGCGGATATGCTCCCCTCTACATTTCTTACACGTGTAGAGACCAAAACTACCAAACAGTATTTATCGTACCGCCAAACGGTATTGATGCATACCAGGAGTAGATTCCTCTCTTCTCATTATTGGTCCACGTAGAATACTGGACCAAGCTATCACTTGGATCACACCCAGAACATTGTCTCTAAACGCTCCACTACCGAGCTGATCTAGAACGGCCATCAAGTTGTAGCACGGCTATGGTACACTGTGTGTTCTACGTGGATGCACTACGCCGCACCTAACGTGGCCGACCTGGTAGCTGATCCAGAACGGCCATCAAGTCGTAGCACGGCTATGGTACACTGTGTGTTCTACGTGGATGCACTACGCCGCACCTGACCTGGCCGACCTGGTAACGTTGAAACGATCCTTTGGAACCACGATGCAAGAAATGGCCCGACACAGATCCAGGTTCTGTACCACGATAGGCCGGCCGAGATAATTCCACGCAGCACCAAACTCCGAGTTGTCGCCGCTTGGCCCAGCCCATGTTCCTTTGGCTTAGCCCAGCACCATGTCCCGTGTTGGCGTAGCTTGGCCCAACACCATATCCTGTGTTGGGGTAACTCGGCCCACTATTCAACACAAATCTTCCTCTCAATCAGTAGTCTAGATACAGTTTCTATAATTTTCTTTCGATTGAATGTGTTTCGAGAGAGGCCATAACCCATGAGGAAGAATTTTGGATTGTTGGGTTGGTGGGAAAAGTGCATACATGAATAGGTATAACATGACATTTGAGATGATTAAGAGAGGAGTGACCCATGGCTCTATAGGTGCATGGATTGGATTTCTTTTTCTCTTACTTCTAAACTAGTAAATATAGAAATCTTAGTAGAAATTTTTTGTCAAACAAAAATGGAAACCTTTAGAAACCTGCTAGAAATCTGATTGAATATTTCACCAATTCTAAATTTAAACGAACAGGAAATTTAGAAATCGTTGTAGAAATTTCTGTCAAACAAAAATGGAAATCTTTAAAAACCTACTAAAAATTTGATGGAATACTTTCTTGATTCTAAATTTTTGAGTATTTATTAAAAAAAATTAACTTATTTCTAATTATATATTTCCAGAAATGTTTTCAAAATATACATAATAGTTTCCAAGAACTTCCTACATGTCTGGTTGAAATTTCTTAAATCACTCTCCAAGGACATTTTTTAAACATGTTCAAAAGAATTTATATATATGTATATACATATGTATTCCACAAATCTCTCAACAAAAATTCACAAAAACTTCAATAAGTTTCTTAGTAGTTTCTGCAATGTTTTTATAAGTTTTCCTTCAGTTTTTTTTTTTTTTTTTTCTGAAAAAGTTACTCTATATTTTCGAAAGAATCATATTTCTCTAGCCAAATTGAGTTCCTCGGACTTGTTTAAGGATGTATTTGGATCAAGAATTTGAGTGAAAATTTGTGAAGGGAAAAAGAAAAAAGAAGGAAAAAAATAGCTTATATTTTGTCCACTTCTCTTTCTCTTTTTTTTCGCCTTTCGTTCCACATCACTCCTCAAACCTTTCATCCAAAGACGACTTAAAAGTTAGCAAATGAAAAATGAGATATGCTGGTACATCTAATCATGATTCACGAGTGCATATCTTGAAAAACACACAATCATTTCCAGCATCTTGCAGTGCTTCGGTTTTGCATTTTGTTTGGTACATAAAACTTTTTTAAAGCGCACCGAACCCTATAGAAGAATTTAAGGTTGGGAGTGGGAGCAGAAACGAGACCCCTATAGGAGCCTTTACGTTTGGGAGCAGGAGTGACGCCCCCATTAGAGTTTTCTACTACTAAGTACATAACCCAATGAAAATCAAATCAAAGGATCTCTTTTAGAGGACGAGTAATTATCCAGTCTTCCGAGAATTCTAGATTAGCGGGTGTGCTCAATTAATATTGGGAGGCAAAAATATAATTACATGGCCCAAAAAATAAGGAAATAAAGGAGAAATCGCAAGATACCATTGGACTGGCATGTAGCCACGTGGTGTTCTGGACCTATGTGATAATTTCCAGACACATAGAGGCCTGTTTGGAGGCGAAGAATTGTACGAGGCACTAGATACATTTGTGCAGACTTGTTAGTGTGCCTAGTGGTTATCTCCAAACAAGGACACACCTACTGTGGTTAAACCATTATAATCCCTGTGATATATGCATATATATAATTTTTTTTCGTGGCAATAAATATTCTCTACTTATTGTGCTTTTTCCAACTAAATTTACGCTCTCATCACATCTGCATCTTGGAGAATTGGCACCAAAGATTGGCAAAATTTCATAACATCCCCAAAAACTCGTGCATTTACATGAATAGTTTACATCAGAAATCATTGTTTCGTTTTGCTCTATGTAGACCTTGGATTTACATATATAAAAGCACTGAAAACATAATGGTTCACTATCATGATATTAGTTCTTTCAGTTGAACACAAAATCTAATCACATAGTACCAGACACAATTCTCTCGTATAGATGTGGGACTCACCTCATTGTTTTTGGTTTTTGTCGTCTTAGATCTTTTCTTAGTTTTTACATTTCGGCATTTTTGAAGCCTGTTCTTGGAACTGCAGAGAGATGAAGACCTCCACTGATGTGAAGTGTGAACATGGTTTTATAAGTCACATTTTTGGTTTCATCGGCTAACTTGAACCGGAAGGATCGGAGAAGAGCAGTTGACATAATCTTCATTTGGCGACCTAAGCAGATCCTAGGACCTGCCTGCAAATCACAAACACAACCACAAATATTTGGTAAGGGCATGTTCAATTTACAATTTTTCCTTTTTTTATTTACAAATTTTTTTAAAATTGTGTGATAAAAAATTCGTTGGAAATCTATTTTCATTTTCAAAAAATTATAAACAATTTATAAAATTGACTACACTCTTTTAACCACACACAAAAAAAAAAAAGAGTTGGTATTACTTGTTTGGTTTCATAAACAGAAACCATCTCGATTGACCATCTCCTATAGTTGACATATTACCTTCGGTCACCATCTCCAACTAGCAACACCTCTGAACACCACCTCTTGTTGAAAACCACCTCCCGTCGAAAACTATCTCTAGTCACTCAGCCGCCAGCAACCACCTTTTGCTACTACCTCCCTTCGACAACCACCTCAGACCACCCCTCTTACTTGTTTTTAAAACATGTTTAAACTTGACATGTTCTTATTTTTGTTTTTGCCAGAAATAAATATAAGCATGTATAATCTTTTCTGTAAAAAAAAAAAAGTAAACTGTAAACGTACATGAAATGCGATGAATTTGAACGGTGATTCAGGTTGGAAAACACCATTTTTGAGCCATCTTTCAGGTCGGAAGTCTTCTGCATCATCTCCCCAAATGTAAGGCATCCTGCCCATGGCATAGGACATGTAGTAAACCCCATCTCCCTTTTTCAGTTTAAATCCATCTGGAAGAATGTCATCTGTTTCTGCACACCTCCCGTCCTTAAAAAGTACAAGTATACACAGAACAAAGTACAAGTGAATATCACCATGTGTAAAACTGAAAAAAGATAGAGCTAATGAGGCAAAAATGGCAGAACAGAACCATCAGAATGGAAAAGAAATTTATGTCAGTCAGTTGTAATCGTCATGTGAAATGACGGTTTGGTCTAACAGTAAGACTTGTTGTTAGCGTCCTTAGACAATGTTTGATTGTCAGATTAAGTTGGGTGGCATTATTGCCTGATCATGAAACTTCCAGCATGTGATGTGCAACCTTGAAAATGACCAAGAAAACAAAAACTAAATTATAGAATTATCCATAAACTCAATCCGTTCATGAAAGAAAACCACCCACTGCCCATCAAAACTCAATCCCTAATCTAAAATTTATGTGGTTTTGACATTTATTGCAGTATTGAATTCCAAAAATCACCCAAGTCTCCTACTTTAACCGGGTCAAAGTGGACCCAAATACAAATACTGGGTCAGACCTATCGACCCGAACAAGTGATAAGCATCATCTGGGTTGAATTCAAGACACCCACAGTCCAAAAATTTGAAACGCCAAGAAAAACAAAGAAATTATCATGCCATACAATTATCTACAAACACACACACACACACACACACATATATATATATATATATATTGTTTTGAAGAACAAACAAAGAAATCTCTGAGGTTTCGGGGATAATTTACCATAGGGACAGCAGGATATAGTCTTAATGTCTCTGTCAATGCTGAGTGAAGGTAATGCATTTTCTCCAGTACTTCATCGGTTAAAATTGTGGTGAAATCATCCGTGCTAGAACCATACCCGTGACTACTGGTAACTTCTTTCACTTCGCGTGCAATTTTTTCCTGTATCAGTGGATTCTTGCATAGAAGGTAAAAGAACCACGAAAGTTGCAGAGGTGTCTTTGCCAGCAATCATAAAATTTAGGATTATATCTCTTAGATATTGATCGTTCATCCCTTCTGGATCCTTCTTGCTCTCCTCCAGAAACCTCGAGAGTATGTCCTCCTTGCCATTCTTGTGATCATGAAACAGTAATAACTAAATCAGTAACCAAAAGCATGAAACTACTATAAAATTAGTACTCACTAACCGTGAGGGTGATTAGCACATTTCATGAATTCAAAGTCATTTCATTAAAACCTAAAATATTTGGATTTAGAAACCAAATCATCTAGAACTAACCCATTGCAAACAAGCCTCTACTATAAATGATAGTGTTGTATAGTCCTTAAAATTTCCTGATATTGCTGCCATCTCAATCATTGATTAGAGGTTGAATCAATCATTGGAAGAATAATTAGGCCAAAAAGGATGATGCATGTTGGAAAAATGAAACTTCTATCAGAAAGAAGCAAGTGAAAGACTTTCATAAAAGTTCTTGTAGAAGCAAGAATGGAGTTTTGGTTTTGTACATGCCTGATCATAAATTAATAACTACATGTAATTCCCAAAATAATAATCATAATAATCTTAATTGCTTCGAATTTTCTGTTTTTGGAATGGAATATTTTTATCTCCCTGAATAGGGTTTTGGATTGTTAATATATTTTATGTTAGCGTATATTAATGTATGCTTACTTTATGCTTACTTTAGTGCTAGTGTTGTTAGCCTTTCGGCTGTATGTAATAATAGTGCTTCGGCCACTCTCAGTCCTTCTCCTATATAAGGAGCCCCTCACCATTTGTAATATATAACATTCAATATATCAATCATAATACATATAATTTATTCTCTCTCTATCAATTTATCTTACATGGTATCAGAGCTAAGTTAACAACTTAGTAATTCCGCTTCACCGGCGGGCGGCAGCCTCGCCTTGGCCGCCCGCCGGACCTCTACACATACCTTGACTCCGCTGCCACTAAACCCAATTCAACATTCACCTTCAAGATCAGAGCATCATCACCATCATCCATCTTGGTCACCTCCACCAACACACATGGGCTAAGACCAAGGCCTTTCTCTCTCTGTCTTTTCTACAGAAAGGGCCGACCCGTTGGAATCTCACATTTTCGAGAGCAGGAGCAGAAAGACTTGCTGGTGATCGGTCCGACGTGAGGCTTGGTGGAACATAAGCTCCCTTGGTCAAGCTTCCATCCTCCGACTCAATCACCGAAGTCATGGACACATCCTTATGACCCTCCAAGATTCCCTTCAGTGAACCTGAGCACCACCATGGTTTCACCATGGTCCGAAATGCTCCGATCCATTCCACTCTGTTGGGAAGCTCCTCATGTAGAGCTACTTCGACATGGCCACCGGCTGGCTCCACCGTACATGGCGTACATGGCGTCATCAAGTTCTTCGATCTCACTCCGGCAAAGTTCCGCCGCAATTATCTCGGCCTCAAGCAGCGCCGGCTCAAGCTCCTCCCACTCTTTCTTAGACAACTTGTTTGACGAAGGGAATGAGTGGAGTTTGTTGAGAGCTCAATCTCAAGACCTTCCCTTCCAAGACCGATGAAATCTCAGCATCACGCCGTCAGCCGAACGCGTCGGTGACCTCTGAAAACTCACCAGCAGCAAGTCCAAGAACAAGATGATCAAATTTCTTGGTTTGTTTTTTGTGTAGATCTTCTATAGTTAAAGTTGCTTGATTCCTCAGAGAGTGTTGAGGCCTGATCAAACTATGCATTCATCAACTCTCTCTTTCGGTCTCCATGCATGACCACAGAGCAACACACGGCTCTCCCTCTCTCTTCTTGGCTTGACTTTCAACCCCGATTACCAACTCCCTCGTTGCAACAAGATTCACCGGCATTGCTCGCACTTGGAGATGCCAAGGGACAAGAATTGGACTCTGGGTTGCCTCTTTTTGGTGGGCCATTGCTTGCCATGTTGATCATAACTATTTCTTTAATCAAACCCATGTTCCCCACCCATGCTATTATCATATATTATACCGACATATGTCAGCCCATCAATTTAGCAACCACCACACACAACACAACAAAGCTTCCAATGCTATTATAAAATATTATCCCAAAACATCCACCACCCACTTTTGCCCCACCAGTGCATGCTTCTCGGACAGGGTGCCAGGCACCAATACATGCCACTCTGCACCATACCATCCACCCACTTTTGTCCAAATTCATATTTTATTAATCTAATGGCTGGCACCATCATGGGTTGGTTTGAACAAAACCGTGGGCCCCATTATCACTTTCTTTTATTTTATTTTATCTTCCTTTTTTCATTAAAAAAAAAAAAAAAAAAATCATCCCTAACAAAGTTTTGAAGCACTGTGGATTGCCTGATGAAGAGTACCTTGTTCTCTTCACTCCCAACTACAGAGATGCCAAGGGAAAAGAATTGGACTCTGGGTTGCCTCTTTTTTGGTGGGCCATTGCTTGCCATGTTGATCATAGCTATTTCTTTAATCAAACCCATGTTCCCCACCCATGCTATTATCATATATTATACCGACATATGTCAGCCCATCAATTTAGCAACCACCACACACAACACAACAAAGCTTCCAATGCTATTAGAGTGTTTGCAGAGGTGTCTTTGCCAGCAATCATAAAATTTAGGATTATATCTCTTAGATATTGATCGTTCATCCCTTCTGGATCCTTCTTGCTCTCCTCCAGAAACCTCGAGAGTATGTCCTCCTTGCCATTCTTGTGATCATGAAACAGTAATAACTAAATCAGTAACCAAAAGCATGAAACTACTATAAAATTAGTACTCACTAACCGTGAGGGTGATTAGCACATTTCATGAATTCAAAGTCATTTCATTAAAACCTAAAATATTTGGATTTAGAAACCAAATCATCTAGAACTAACCCATTGCAAACAAGCCTCTACTATAAATGATAGTGTTGTATAGTCCTTAAAATTTCCTGATATTGCTGCCATCTCAATCATTGATTAGAGGTTGAATCAATCATTGGAAGAATAATTAGGCCAAAAAGGATGATGCATGTTGGAAAAATGAAACTTCTATCAGAAAGAAGCAAGTGAAAGACTTTCATAAAAGTTCTTGTAGAATCAAGAATGGAGTTTTGGTTTTGTACATGCCTGATCATAAATTAATAACTACATGTAATTCCCAAAATAATAATCATAAAATCTTAATTGCTTCGAATTTTCTATTTTTGGAATGGAATATTTTTATCTCCCTGAATAGGGTTTTGGATTATAACTTCATTTCATGATATGATTCAAATGATATGAAGTCAAAAGAGGCACCCAAAAAAATAGAATGTTTATAAGTGTTGAATCTAATTTTTTTTTTTTAAATCTTTTTTAATAAAAGGAACTTTCTAGAAAAATCTTAATTCAAAATGGATTTGTCTAAATCCCGAAATTAAGCATTCAATTTTTTTCCCCAAAAATAGTAAATTTTGTAATTTGGAGACCAAAACGATAGAATTTGCCCAAAACCTAAGTCACTGCGACATAGTGAGTTGTACAACTGTTTCAGATCGAATATGGGTGTTTCAGGCTTCATACGACAACTTTAGAAAATTGCCGTTAGCATTTTGTCATCAAACAATCAAACTGCTCCATAAACTTGATGTCAATCACTGTACCGTCTAGAACTAGTAATAATAAAAATGGCAGTACTAACACTCACACAGTCCTGTTGCATTTCTAGCTGTTTCCTCTTGGTCCTAATTAAATTGTGCGTGAAATTGTTGATGAGTTGGACATTCTTCTGAAGGGAAGCTTCGGATCCAATGTTGAGGAACTTTTTCAGCTTCCAAAATGGATCGACATAGCGCCAATAGACCAACGCGTTTGAATCATCAAAGGCCTTGATGAAATCACTACCCTCTTTGCTTGATTCGTCAAGGCAATTCAATTCCACTCCAAAACCTACTTTGAACATGGAGTCTAAGGTACATTTCATTAGCAAATCCTGCAAGAACACATTTAGATTTCATTTCAAGGCTTAATCATTACTGGAAAGTATGGTGCAGGAATGTTTCAGCTAACTGCATAGATTAGCTCCACTGATATCTTTGAGCTCTGCTTTTTGTTTTTTGTTGGCTCAAAAATCTTTGAAACAATATAATGGTGTCAGAAAAAGGGCAACCCAACGCATGAGGCTACTGGTAAAGCGGGTTTTGTGTAAGACAAAATTTTGATCATCAAAATGCTCTGCTGACTTTTCACTTGGATGAAATAATACTCTTGAATCATATTGTGGACCTTGATTGTCAAAATAGTTCATTTGTAATATACTCTTCTTGCAGAGCTCTACTCTCTATGCCTAAAGATAAAAATTATCATGCTATTTATTGTGGGTGCATCTCGAATTTGATGCAGTATCTGTGTTCGTGTTTATTTTGATCCGGTTTGCTATTTTTGAATCCTTTTATTGTGGTTGCATCTCTACCTTTGTAATGAAACTCCTATATCGTTCTTGAGTCATGGACGGAGACTTACTACCGAATTACGTAAATCATTGTGTGCTTGTGCGTTTGTTATGCTTCAGTTTTTTCTTTGCCGTAATAGTTTTGAAACTAGCATCATTTGTAAAGATAAAATTCACACAATAATCACTTAGTTTACTGTTTTCATTTTTTATTTGTTGTCATCAAAGTGATGGTGTTTTCTAACTTCTCATTGTTTTTGTTTTCCAAAAACACAAAAAACAAAAACAATTCATTTTTGGACTGCTTAATGGTTTCAAATCACTTACTTGAACATCAAAAACCTGGTTGGCCACCGACAATTCGAAAACAGTTTTAACCAATTTGGCAGCATTTTTTCTGAAAACATCACAGCTGAAATCCCTCAACACCCTAGTAGAGAACTCAAAGCTTGCAAGCTTCCTCTGCTGCTTCCACTTCTCACCATCCACTGCAAAAATCCCTTGGCCAAACAAGTCCTGCACGATATCTTGGTTATACTTGCCTTTGGAATATTTCTCAAAGTTGGTTTTGAGTGTGTGCTCAATGTTTCTTATATCAGTTGTGTATATTTCACTTTGGTCTGGGGCGAGAAGCCGAAAAGTCCGGCAAGTTTTGGCAAGGTCTGTTTGGTAGTCATAGAGTTTGTTGAAGTAGAAGAGCTGATGAAATACAGTTCCAGTCACAGGATGGTATTTTGGGTTTTTTATCGATTTGCCAATGAAGATTTTTAGGGTTAGAGATGAGAAGGCAAGGAAGAGAAGTGTTAGTGCAGTTGCTATGAAGGTGAAGATGGCATAGAGGAAGTCCATCTTTGTGTGCGGTTTGTGAAGAGGGGAGACTGATCATATCATTGACTTAATGGATATATATAGAGCAGTGTTAGAAACACATAAATAATCACAGATGTAAGACTAGAGCACGTATTAGATCTCACCCTTGTTTCACATATGTGATCATTTTGTGTTCTAATTTTGTGTTTTTAGTGTTTTTCAATTACAGAATTGATTACTGAAAATATAAGTATAGCAATTTAAGTGAAAAAAAATTTTTAGCGACGGGCTACACAATCTGATGTATGTGATTATTATTATTTTTCGTGACTGATAGGAATCAAGATGTGGAAAAACTAGATCCATTTGCACTTGGGACAATTTATTTTTTGAAGGATCATTGATATATGCTACTAATTTTGTGATTGGTTGTGTTTAAATATATGCATATATATATTAACTGCAAATATATGCATATAGGAGCCAATAATTTTAAGAAAAATGATTGAGACTTCTAAAAGAGGAATTCTAAAAGAGTATTAAATTGTATTTTTTCTCTTTATATTTTATCTTTTACCCTTTCTTTTTTTTTTTTTTTTGGTGTAGTGCCAGCTCACTAGAGTTATTTTTTCCTATCAAAATTGTAATTTTAAGACTATTTCCATTGGAGAGGTGGGATAGAGATGGAGGTAGGTGTGTGAGTGGGAATGATGGTTGTTTTATTTATTTTAGTGCATGTGTCAACAGGTGATTGTCTGTATCCCTATATGTCAACAGGAAGGGATGGTCTTAGGTGAAATCGATGAAAGTGAAATGGCACATGAATTGAATGCAAATTTGGAAGTGAGAAATGTTTTTCTCCCCGAATGAGCCCCCGAATGCCCCGAATCAGAGAGAAAGAGAGAGAGAGAGAGGGAGAAAGAGAGAAGAGAGAGGAGAGGGAGAGAGAGAGGGGAAGGAGGATCATCGCCGATCGTCGCCCGCCGTCAGTAGAAAAATCCCTTGGCCAAACAAGTCCTGCATGATATCTTGGTTATACTTGCCTTTGGAATATTTCTCAAAGTTGGTTTTGAGTGTGTGCTCAATGTTTCTTATATCAGTTGTGTATATTTCACTTTGGTCTGGGGCGAGAAGCCGAAAAGTCCGGCAAGTTTTTGCAAGTTCTGTTTGGTAGTCATAGAGTTTGTTGAAGTAGAAGAGCTGATGAAATACAGTTCCAGTCACAGGATGGTATTTTGGGTTTTTTATTGATTTGCCAATGAAGATTTTTAGGGTTAGAGATGAGAAGGCAAGGAAGAGAAGTGTTAGTGCAGTTGCTATGAAGGTGAAGATGGCATAGAGGAAGTCCATCTTTGTGTGAGGTTTGTGAAGAGGGGAGACTGATCATATCATGGACTTCATGGACATATATAGAGCATTGCTAGAAACATGAATAATCTGAGGTAAGACAAGAGCATGTTTGTTTTCGTGTTCTAATTTTGTATTTTTTGTATTTTTTTTAAATACAGAATCGATTACAGAATTGATTACTGGAAATATAAGTATAGTGATTTAAGTGAAGCAATTTCTTTAGTAACGGACTACATGTATGTGATTATTATTATTTTTTGTGATTGATTATATGTTGGTAGAATTTTTTTATAGATATATGCAGATACGAATGAAGAAGTGGAAAAACTAGTTCCATTTGCACTTGGGTATTTTTTTGAAGAATCATTGATATATACTATTAATTTTGTGATTGGTTGTATTTAAATATATGCATATAGGAGCCAATAATTTTAAAACTATTTCCATTGGGAAGGTGGGATAGAGATGGAGGTAGCTGTGTGAGTGGGAATGACGTTTGTTTTATATATTCAGTGCTACTATATGTATTAATTAGTGTACCAACTACTATTATGATATTATTATTACTTATTTAGTCTTCCCAAACTTGGCCTTAATGTCACACCAAAATCCACACATACACAAGAAAAAAAAAAAGCCTTTGTCATCGCGAGATTTGAAAAAAATTAGATGTATACAATCAAATCTCGTTTGGGCTTGACGACAGACTATTCTGGCCTTGTTTGGTATAGTTTTTTTTCAGCTTATTTCAACTTTCAGCTTAATTTAAGTTATTTTAATGTGTTTGGTTTAGCTTAACAATGCAGCTTATAGCTTTTTGTAGGTCAGAAATCAGCTTATTCTTTGAGTGGGGTAAAAGAAGCTTAATTTATAAGTCAGAAATCAACTTATATTCATACTTATAAGTTATAAGTTGTTAAGGTATAAGTTATAAGTACTTTCTCACAACTCTACCAAACAGGGCCTCTATATGTTTGAAGAAACACCAAACCCTGCTTGGGCTGTTTGGGGTGAGGCTATATTTATATGTTTCAAACTATTTCATTTGGCACCGGCTTATGAATATGCCAAATGAATTAGATGTTTTTAGGTGATTTATTTTATAAACTAATTTCTTAACAAATTTCGAAGAAAATTAACGGAAAATTATTTGATTGGTGATGGGATTGTACATGGTGCATCATTTCTCATAGTCAATGTCAAGCTTTTTAAGGGTAAATTAATTCAAACATTTAAATATAATTTACATATATATAGTCATATGCCCACTGGAATAAACTTTCAATGATGTGAAAGCCATTTTGTCAGGAGATACTGTCATCTATGTTAATACCATGGTATTTTGGAAGACATTCAAAGATCAGAACCGTTGAAAATTAGTGGGCAGACTCATGTTGACTTTAAGGCCTACTTTGGTCTTGGCATTTTTATGTCTTTTTAGTTTTTTTTAGAAGTTTTAAAAAATTTTGTTTATTTTCATTTTTTAAAAAATACTTTTCAAAAAATTGTACTTTTTTATTTTTCGTATTTTTTTATTTTTATTGAATTTTTTTAATATTTTAAGTAATTTTTTTACTTTTTAAACACACTTAACGTAAATACACCTAAAAAATAAAAAAAATATAAAAAAAATCTTTTAAAAATTTACTAAATACAAAAAATATAAAAAAAATACAAGAATTCAGTATATTTTTTGTATTTTTATGTATTTATTAATTTTTTTAAATATTTTTTTATAAATTTTTTACTTTTTAGATACATCTAACTAATGTGCATCTAAAAAAATAAAAAAAATGTTTAAAATTTAAAAAATATTCACTAAAAACAAAAGAATACGAAAACCTAAAAACTCAATTTTTAAAAACTTAATTCAGAAAACTCAAACTAAACACACTGAATGTGTTTAAAAAATCACAATGATACTTTCTGGTGAGTGAAAAAATTATTATGACATTTAATATTTTTTTTTTTTGGACTGATGGTAAATAATTTTTTAAACCAGAAAAATGACTTTTTTTAATAGACCCCAAACGTGACTTAATGGGTTTTAAATTTCGATGTATGACTTCATGGAATAACTTATAGGCTACGATAGAAGTCTTTTTCCTGTGATTATTCAAATATATCTTTTTTTTTTCAATATATTCATAATTCAATTGCTTTGTCATTCAAACCAATAACCTTCCGTTTTGTGTTTGATTTAAATTACTCATACTCTCATTCAGGCCTCGTTTGGGAATAGGCTAATTTAGTAATTTTTTAGTTATTTGACTAAAAAAGTAGGTAAAAAAAACTTATATGTTTGGGATCACTTTTTGGCTAATTACGAAAAGATGTGCAAAAAGTAGAGAGAAAAGAGAATTTTTGACTTTTTGGTATGAATTGTTAGCTTTTTGGCTAAAAAAGTAACTTTTTGACTAAAAAGGTAAGTCCCCAAACGGGGCCTGAGTATGCGTAATTCAATTGCTTTGTCAGTAAACCAAATCCTTAAAATTATTTTGATAAAGAATACTACTTTTCTCAAAAATTGACTAAACTAATTAGAACCTTTGACTTAGTAATTATATAGCACTATTTCATATTACAAATTTAGCTTCTATAAAAAAGAGTTTGATATGTTTTGTGGTATTTATTTTTTTCCCCAATATGAGGGTTGTGTATATAGTTGTTTGTTTTTTTCTCTAGTTTGAGTTTGGTGACTATTGGATTTTCTACCCAATATGAGGGTTGTATATATAATTGTTTATTTCTTTTCTAGTTTGAGTTTGGTGACTATTGTGTTTTCTAACTAATTTTTCTGTCGTTGGACTTTATTTATCTTAGTTTGATATAATATTTTTCATATTTATAAATTTTTTCACTGATTGAGAAAAAAATATAATATGTATATATATATAAATCAATTAAATTGTACAGTTATCATGTTGTGGGCTCACTTTAAAAATTTAAATCATTCCTCTTTTATGTCCCACTAAGATGTATGATTAAATATCAATAACTACGTGATCGAATCACGTTTATTTTTAAAAAATGATTAGTTTTGATTATAGACCATCTATTTATTTTAAGACAAATCTAATTTTTTTACGGGAATAATCATCTTGGTAGGACTTACAAGTGATAGCACTACAAGAAAAGTGGGCTCAAAATACGGAACTTTTTGCGACGGCACATTTGCCATCGCAAAAAATGACTTTTTGCGACGGCACAACTTACCGTCGCAAAAAAAGTGACTTTTTGAGACAGCACAATTTATCGTCGCAAAAAATGTAATCTTTTAAGACGGCACAACTTACCGTCGCAAAAAATGTGAGTTTTTGAAACGGCACAACTTGCCATCGCCAAAAAATGTAACTTTTTGAGACAGCACAGCTTGTCGTCGCAAACAATGTGTCCTTTTGAGACGGCACAACTTGTCGTCGCCAAAAAATGTGACTTTTTGAGAAGGCACAGCTTGCCGTCGCAAAAAATGTGACCTTTTGAGACGGCACAACTTGCCGTTGCAAAAAAAATGTGACTTTTTTAGACGGCACAACTTGCCGTCGCAAAAAAATAGAGTAATTGCGACGGCATAAAATGCTGTCTTGAAAAAATAGAGTATTTGCGACGGCAGAAATTGCTGTCGCAAAAAAATAGAGTTTTTGCAATGGTACTAGCTGTAGTCGCAAAAAACAAAAAAAAAAAGTTTTTTGCAACCGTAATATATACCGTTGCACACAAAAAAAAAAGTAAAAAAAAATATATATATATATATATTGTGGCTTTGAGACGGCTTCATATATATATAGTCACAAAATGGTTTAAATAAATGCAACGGTATTTTTCTGTCACAAAAAAAAAAAAAAA